CCCCAAAACCCCAAAACCCCAAAACCCCAAAACCCCTAAGAATAAAGCGAGTATTGAAATCCTGGTACAAAAACTTTAGAATTATCCAACGAATTCTCCTGTGATCACGTTGAAGCCTTTATCCTTATTGATGGCTTGGAGTCCATGAGCTTTATCGTTTTTTAGAGCCTTGGCTATAAAGGTTAGATGCCAATACTTACAGAGGTTTTCTTTTCCATAATTCCCATAAAGCATTGCGCTAGTCTCAAAGTGGTTAGGTACAGAGGGGCTCAGAGCTGATCTGTTCAGGTCTCTAGTTCCATAGCCTCCGCTTAGGGAGAAACTGTTATCATCATTTTTCTTCCTAGTAGAATCACCAGCAGCCATATCCATCTGTCTATGAGGCACAGGTGGTTGGTAGGATGGAGGCTGAGAGCGGCGAGGTCTCGACATACGATCTTGGGATGATGGCTTGTAAGCAGGCGCCTCTTTTGAAGGAGCTTTATAACTGATACTATTCCTTGCCTTATTGGCTACCTCTGTACCTTCGTAAGCCTCCTTCGGAGCTTCATAAGTTGGCTGTGGAGGGTAGCTTTCTTGAGGAAGATTTTGAGGTTGAGGAGGATTCATATTCATTTTAGCCATTTGCTCTTCTAATTCCTTTTCCATATGTCTTTTTCTTTCTTCTTTTTCCTGATCTGCTGAGATATTTGGTTCTGGCTGAGGAGCAACATGATGAGGCTGGTAAGGTCTCTCCTTTTCTTGCTGAAGCTTCCATAATCTTAGTTCTTCTTTCTTTTGTTCTATATAGGACATTCCTTTAGGTTGAGAATCTGTTTGAATAGCATCCTAAGATATAAGCATAAAATATTACAGGTGTGAAATGCTGAGGGTACGAATTGCTTCCTGACCTTGAGTGAGATTTTCTCGGGTTTTCTACCTGCGTTTGGTCATTATATGTGTTATGAGCTGGAGGCTGGTAAGAGTTTAGGCCAGTAGGATGGTTCTGTGTTGATGGATGAGGCTCAGGAAGGGAAGGCCCAGTTGGATGGATTGAATCTGAATTAAATTCATTTGGTTGTTGGAGTATACCTCCCATATCATTTCCAGCTAGATTTGCATTTCTAGAGTCAAGCCTAGCTCTTTCTTGATCTAGAGCATCCATTTTCCTTCTTGATGCTTTTGAATTATCAAATGGAGATCTATTATGAATTCCTCTATAAATTCAGTTACATAAATTACTTTTCAGTTTTATTAAGCCATTTAGCCCCATAACTAGTAGTATCTAAATTTCCTCCTGATCCAAACGGAGCCTCATGGTTCTTCAATCTTTCCTGTAGCCCATAACTCATTCCTGCGTACTCATCTGCTATCTTAGAGGAGCTGACGCCACCATAATGTTTAGGCTTTGCTCCAAGGATATCCTCATTGACTAAACTTCTAGTCTTCCCTTGAAGTGCTTTTTGATTTTTAATTGGATCTTCATTATCATCATATCTTGCCCAGTTCTTTTCACTACATGCATAAAGTCTCTGGGCTTACTCTGGATCTCCTCTATAGATCTTGCCAGCAATAGGAGCTTGACTAATCCTATCAATTTCTATCTTCTGTTTGTTGATGAAATCAGTACTGTCAGAGGCTCTTTTCCTCGATCCGGTATACTAAAGGAATTAGAGAGAAGAGATACGCCTGGCTGTGGTCCATCTGGATTAAGGTCTTCAATAATTACATCTGACCTTTTGTTGTTCTGTCCGGGAAATACCTTATTTGCCCTTATGTCCATCATCCTATTGGTAGTTAGAAATCTTCATAGGGATAAAAATTTATTCTAAGAAAATATAGGAACTACACTGAAAGGATATAAGTTTTGGGAAGTTTAATCCTTAACGATGCTAATTCAAGAAATTTTTGCCTGAACAATCAGACTTCATAAGAATCCTTCATTATTCCACAATAGTATATGGAAACTGTACAAGAAATAAAGCTAAATAGAAGATTTAAATTTGAGTTGAGTAACTCCTTATTTTGGAATGAAATCTCTAAACTTTCTTCAGCATGTTTGGATCCCAACCTTTTGTTCTACGCTGTTATCTTACAATAAGGTCTCTATAGTCCATAGCAGCTATAGCAGTGTAGTCTTGGATATCATAATTTTTCATATTGATTGACATCTATTTAAAATATTTAATTTTAAATCATCGTTGGGGTTTTGGGGTTTTGGGGTTTTGGGGTTTTGGGG